TACAATACAATACAATACAATACAATACAATACAATACAATACAATATAAAAATTCTTTGTTGTACACCAAAAAAGGAAACAAGTACAATTAAATTAAAAATAAGCAGTGGTACAGTGGGCGGCCTTATCGCTTTAAGCGATTTCTGTCGGACAACGTTTGGATGGAAGTAATTATATAATTCACAGGAAAAAGACGGCGGTGTACGAAGAATCATCAGAATCAATAGATACAAATCGATAAATAAATGCAAATATATATATATATATACATACATATATATATATATATATATATATATTTATAAATATACACACACATATATATATATGTATATGTGTGTATATTTATAAATAATAAAACCAATACATATATATGAATATCGTAAAGTACTATATATTCTTACACCTATAAATATAAAATTTCTAAAACATGATTTCAAAACATGAAAATACCTAAGCAGTTCAAGTCACACTAAAGTTAGGTAGTGTTCTTTTACCATATTTTTGAATATATTCAATGATTTCGCTTGTTGAATAAACAAAGGTAAAGCGTTCCACAAACGAATAGCCTGAACAGTAAAGGATTTGTCGTAATGCTGGGAGGTATGCAATGGTGGCAAATCTTAAGTTGGAGAGTTGAAGATGAGCGCAGAAGTCGGGGGTTGGATTGATGGACGAGTTCAAATCGCTCGTAAAGATAAAATTTCCTCAGACCACAAATGAAACAGATGTAAAAGTTTTGTAGACGTTCGAGCTTGTTGAGCTGTTCTTCGGTTAAATCCAGACAGCAGGCATCAGCATAATCAAGAATTGGAAGAAGAAGAGTTAGGGCAAGCGCAATTTTCGTGGCAATAGGCAAGAAATTACGTAACTGTCTAACAGATGCGGCAGACTAACTATTTATTATCCCATATATTGTATAGAGACAGAAAAAGTAAAGATACCCCTTTGGGCGCGGGGCGGTGGTATTCGTATGGTACGGCAACAAGACATTATATACATTCCACTGCCTGTCAAAGTTATCAGAAATCCATGCGAATAATATCTGAATCACAGATATATGTCTGTGATCTGAATGGACTTGGCGCTGTAATACACAGGAATGAAATATTATACATGAAATATTCCATTCTACAGTATATATTCTACGGAGAGTGTACGAGGGAATTGCACAATTCAATTCCGCCTTCCCCTTTCCATGGTATAACTTGAGTCTTAAGACGAGAGTAAATAGGCATTATTTAGGTGTGCACTCTCCATCGTTGAAGTGTTAAATATTATACACACTACTATATATAGCTTTTTCGTGAAATTGCGGTTTAGTCTATATCAATTCTGTTTAACATCCAGATAAAACACTGAACTTGAAAACAGTGCCTGATTGATTCACTGCCTATCCAGTGACATTTGATCCACAAAAAAATCAGTTCAGAGTCTTGAAATTTGATATTATTTTGCAGGGCTACGTGTGGGTGAACGGACGTAATCTGGGCCGGTACTGGCCATCAGCAGGTCCACAGATCACGCTCTACTTGCCCGCAGTGTGGCTGCGCGCTGCACCTGCTCAAAACATCATTCTTCTCCTTGAACTCGAACGAGCGCCTCAAAATCTTACCGTCGAATTTATTAATCATCCTTTAAACTACTAAATCGACTTGATATAATAAAGTTTTACGAAAATTACAGTTTTTTTAATTATACCTTATTTAGTAGAATATATATGTATAGATCTCTAATAACAAAATTCTCAATAAAATTACTTGAAGATCAGTCCAACCGCTTGAGAACCATATACAGACATATAGAGAAACAGATATACTCCAAACATAGGCTTATAACTCCTCTCTTTTTTGTGTCGGGGTTTAATAATACCTAATACAATATAACACGTGCAAGAACAAATTAGCCTACATGTTACGATAGATTGAGTTTTGTATGTCGTCTAACATACCCTGGGCCACAATCGGCGAGTACATTACGTCGATTGGTAAATCCTTTCGCCACTATGGAAAGCATAATAGTGTATGCCGTCGATATGTGAGAAGATTTTGCTGTAGGTCACAAGAAATTTATTTATACTTTTGTGCAAAATTCATCTTAAATATTCTGAAATGAAGTGTATTAAAAAAACAGATGTTAAGTGGTTGACAGTATCTAAACTTTTCACTGTATGGTTTTGCGTATAAACTACGAGATATAGTCGAGACGACGAGAGTGATAAGAACCCTCGCCTGAGACAGTTGTATGTTTTGGCTCCATTCGGTATCAACGGAAATTCGATTAAAAAATGTGTGTGTTAAAAGTGCTCTTTGTGGCACTCGCGAGTGTTTTCATAATATCTGCCACTAGTATAAGGTTCGATTCCGCTCCAGTTGTAAGCAAATTGGCTTCTGCAAATCACGCCCCGTCACTATCATCACATAGTGCACCACAAGTAAGTATGTGTCTAAGAAACTTAGTATAATAATTTGAATGAAATAGAACATACCAGTACGGCCACAGACCACATAGTACGGCATTGACCCAGTAACAGTGGAAACCGGACATGTAAGACATCCACCAAAATAGGAGCATTTACCATAATCCTTATTGCATGCCAGGGGTCAAAGTCAATTGGGAAAAATAGCTCCTTGTGAAAGAGTTCGTCAGAGGAAGTAATACAGCAACACAGACACATGAGACTGTCCACATATGTATAACGGTGACGGGCGCAGTGAAAGTGCCCCTCAGATCTTTGCGATTTAAAGCTCTGAGTGACACTGGAACTGCTATGGACAGTTGTATCGCTTACCAACAAACGCACGACTTATATGTCCCGTCCCAAGTTATCATAAAAAATGCATTATAAAGGCAATAACCACGGTTTTTCTAACAGATTAATAATATAAGCATAGCTGAGGATGAGTTTATTCTGAATGGCAAACCGCTGCACATTAAATCGGGCTCGCTGCACTATTTTCGTGTGCCGGCCGAGTACTGGGCAGATCGGCTGCGAAAATTTAAAGCCGCGGGGCTGAACACCGTGTCCACGTAAGTAGATCTACGACGCCCGCGAGGATATCGAGCTACTACCAGACCACTCTTACTCCTTCGTTAACGCAGGTATGTGGAGTGGAGCTATCACGAACCAGAGGAGCGGCAATACTCCTTCTCAGGCGATCGTGACGTTGCGCAGTTTGTACGAGCCGCCGCTAAAGAGGGACTCTACGTGCTCCTGCGGCCAGGGCCCTACATCTGCGCTGAAAGGGACCTCGTAAATACACCACATAATATCAAAATCATCTTTATCACAATCATCCATAGGAACCAACAGGTTATGCTTTTTTTACTCTGTCATGTTTCAGGGTGGGCTCCCTTACTGGCTTCTTGGCAAATACCCTAATATAAAACTACGATCAGCCGACGAAGGTAATTCCATGTAATTATTTAATAATTTATTGTACGTCTATTCTGAAAGTACTTTGGTTGTTAAGTTGCTTTGTCATAGAATATTTGAAGGAGGGAAGTCTTTTTTATTTTTTTATTTATTAAAAATTTCACAAAAACAATTGTTTTTAATCTAAACCTAGAACTAGGAACAAGAACCTGAGTACATTTATCCGTGCACCGCAAAATAAAACTGTACATTCAAATACTTTCTAAAATATTATTATCGCGGTCTAGGTCGACATGAATGCGAGCCCAATTAAATCCTATGTACATCGTTAACATTAGTGGACAATTTGCACATTCAAAAAAACAATGTTATTGTAAGAAACAAAACGTTACTTACTACGCTTTATCCTCACTGATCAACTGCTGGAAATATTAGCAAACTCAAAGATATCCCGCGCTCAACAGCAGACCTATTGAAAAACATAGATGCTTACCCTGTCCTATACAATTATATAACATTCATTCAAGTCGTGATTGATTCCATCAATGATTTTTTTTAACATACTTCAAAAAAAGGAGGAGGTTCTCAATACGACTGTATGTTTTTTATTGTATTTATGTTACGCGATAACCCCGACTGGAAAGAGGGTACCTCAGTAGTGGTCCTATTTAAATTTGAAGAAAATATTCCACCTCTAAGGGTGGCAAACTAGGGGATGAATGACTTTTGATGTCGGTTTTTTTTTTGGAACTCTGTACTAAGATTATTTCTTGGCCAAGTTTCAGCCACTTACAAGGTTTATAACTTATTTTTAAAACGGTTAAACTTTTAGTAACATAATAATGAAAATTCTAATTTTCAATTAATTTCTTAAGGATTCCATTAAGTATTATATTAGGCTAACTTGATTAAGGTTTTCCATATAATTGTGAACCCAATTGATTAAATTCTGAATAATATTTTCGTACCAACGTTGCAGAGTCCGCTGAACCGAAGTGGTCTAACCTAGACGAGATTACTTTTATATATAAGAAGATAATAATATATAAATGTGTATGATTTTATCTTAGATTCTACGAAATCGATTTCAAAATGTTCTTGACTGTACTTATCAAAGGAATGAATTGGTAAAAATCATGTTATTGTCGACACACATACTACAATAATAACTGTTCTACACTGTAGTAATTGTGTATTGAACTATAATGATGTATTTACTCAGTATGAACAGGGCCGCAAAGTACGATTGCTAAATATTTAAATGTCATTATAACCAAGGTTATTATTTACATACAGTTGCCTGATGGTATAATAATTAATTAACTAATGACTGTTACTGAACCATCAAATAAATAAATAAAAACTGTGCAATAAGCCGGTGACATAGAAGGGAGATGGCACGACGAGCTAAGAGACCGTCGCGTCGTTGTAACGTCCTTAAATCGCGACAAGTGGAGGAAGACAAGGAAATCCTACACTGAAGTAGTAATGGCTGACAAATTAAATGGTAAATGTTATAAATTACATTAATTACTTTACAGATTTCGTAGAGGAAACAAGAATATGGATGGCAAAACTATTCGAACATATGAGTCCTCTTTTGTTCGGAAATGGAGGACCCATTATATTAGTACAGGTGGGTGTATAGTATAATGTAGTGTCTGTCCAAATTAATGGTACTATAGTATACTATATTCATTGATAAGTTCAGCGCTCCCATTGTTCGCTGGACACAGCACATTTGTACTACATAGATCCAATTGGTTCCAAACACAGTCACAATGTTAGTCCAGAAGCACTAGTTGCAACTATTTATTTGTTCATATTTTATCAGGTAGAAAACGAATACGGTGTTTACGGTAGCGACATGGTATACAAAGAGCAGATTCGAGATATAATCAGCGAGCATGTCGGTGCCAAAGCGCTTCTTTACACAGCTGATTTCGTAGATTTCGACTCTATCCGAAATGGTGCGGTTCCTGGAGCACTTGCTACTATCAATTTTGGAACAAGTATGCAAGGCTTTTATTTTTATGTCCCCGTACAGTCGATGCCCTAAGATACCTGAACCCCTTATAGTCTGTCTTTTTTGAGGACGGAGTTATACGATATTTCCATAAAATTTTAAATAATTATGTAGTTGTTGTCGATAGTTTTATCGGCAGATTGTGGAAGAAGATAAAATTTTGACAAAAATGATTGAATTGTGAATATTACGACGTTTTAAAAAAACGTTTTAAAAATTGCGTTATTGCCATTGACTTACAATTATATGGACGTCGAGTCCGCGCTAAAAAGTGTCCGCACTTGTAAGGCGCTAAAATCGTATACAGAGCGCCAAACTCCGCTTTAGTCTTCATTTGTTCGACTGACAGCGCGATATTGCGATGACATTACAATTTAAATTTCGAATAGGTTGACTTGGGACATTTTTTTCGTGGTTTTTGTATTAGACCCGTCGTCCATTTATTTGTAAGTCAATGGTTATTGCCTTCTTTATTCTTATTTTGACAGTTGACCTACTAGTATCGAGATAATTTTTTTTTCATATACATTTTAACATAAATAGCCGGATTTGATTATCTGTATTGAATTAAAATGAAAAATAAAATAAAAAACCTCTTTGTATTTTTCATAAACATAGTTCTAAATACAGTGTATGTGTCAATTTACAAAAACGGACAATTTAATTGAACTTGTGCTCAGTAATTGGGTAAATAATAAGTCTAAGATGATTTAAATGAAACATGTTCGGCTATTTATTCCATAAGCATGACCAATATTCAGTCAATAGTCGATAGATTATTTATCGACTGCAATCACTATTATATATTATATAATATTATATAAACTATTACATAAAATAATTCCAGCTTTTTGGTTGAAATTTATATTTATATGCATTAAAGACCAAATTGACTAAAAAGACATACCAAAATGAATTTTACGTCTTACGGGTTAAAAATTAAATTTGTGTAACACCTTTCTTCACACGGGTTATGCATCTCAGAGCATCGACTATACTGAGGTCAACAAAATTACAGTTAAATTAAATTTCTTTTCTAACATTCACATGCATTTGATCCGAGGTTTACCGTATATCAAAACTAAAATATTTGAACATTCTAGAAATCCTTATTATACTTTTTTTTACAATAATTCTCCTCACATATGTACCTTCCATTTTTTAGATTCAAATGTGCAAACGGTATTCGAACCACTGCGGCAGTACATGCCTGAAGGTCCACTTATGAACTCTGAATTTTACCCTGGTTGGTTTACGCACTGGACTGAGAGCGCCCAAGGGCAAGAGATCGCTCCCGTGATCAGAACACTGACTGATATGATGAACAATAAAATAAACTTCAATTTTTATGTGTTCTTCGGTGGGACCAATTTTGAATTTACCGCAGGTTAGAATATTAAGTTGGTTTCTTTTCTATTAACCATTTCTTAATCGTTATTTCTCTAAATTCCAACTCATTTTACAGGTGCTAACGACGACAGTTTACAGAAATACCTGCCGGATATAACATCTTATGATTACGACGCACCGCTCACTGAAGCTGGCGACCCCACATTAAAATATTATGCTATTAAGGATGTACTGGGTCAGGTAAATTAAAATGGTCTTGTTTCATCACCAAACACAGATTTTCAGTAATCATCTCTTACAAACTTTAGTCACAGTTTTCGTCAACTAAAACATGTAAATATCTGCTTCGGTGACATAAATTGTTGCTACAATTGGTATTAGAAAAAAATATATTCTAATTGCAGTTCAATTCAGACGTCAATGAAGACCAAATTCCGACAGAATCTCCAAAAGGAAATTACGGAAATGTAGTACTCAGAAGAAAAGTCAGTCTACTATCTCCAGAAGGAAGATCGCAATTGGGAAAGAAATATTCTGATGTCACAGGATCAACGCTGCCGACATTTGAGGAGTTACGTCAGCGTGCCGGTCTTATGTTGTATGAAACCACGATTCATGATACAAACGGTATACTGGAAATAAAAATGCCCAGGGATCGTATTTATGTCTTCGTTGATGAAGTAAGTACACAAAATGATTGCCAAAAGATCTCTGAACTATTTCGGTTAACTTATGTAAATCTCATCACTCAGCCTGAAAACGAACCAGGCCAGCAAACAAATGTAACAGTTTCTCTTGACAAATAATAAGTATTAATTCTCTCAGGTGTACGCTGGATTAATAAGCCGAATGACGAACAAACACAGTTTGTCATTGGAAACAAAACCTGACTCCGTTCTGTCTTTGCTGGTGGAGAATCAGGGACGAGTCAATTTTGGGCAATACTTGCACGATTATAAGGTACTTTTCATTGTAATAATTAAATTATTTTTATTTATTTATTTGTTCGGGTAACAAACAGTCGTATATGAGCACTTATCTAAGAATAGTGTAAAAAATATACCTATAGTACCCTACATTATCACATATGACATAAATTGTGCAAATATGTGACGTGTACTAAATATTTTCAATTCTAACAAAATGTTCACATTACGGACCCCAAAAATAATAATAAAAATATGCTTTAGAAACCACTAGAATGTCAGTTCTCCCACTTTTTTCAATGTATTTAAGGAATAAATGTTAGAGTTTTTTCTCTCTCTGTTAATTATTAATATTCTTATAGGGTATTTTAGGCACCGTAGAGTTTAATGGAAAAAGTTTAAGTGGCAAATGGTCTGTTACCGGATATCCACTGGAGCAAATAGATAATATTTCGGGTACGGATCTTCAAAATAGCGATTATGGTCCGGTGTTATATGAAGGAGAGCTTATACTACCTGAAGGACAACAACCTCTCGACACATTTCTGGACACTGGTGGTTGGGGAAAGGTATTATTTTATTATATCCTTAAGAACGTTGCATACCCTAACGGCAATATGATGTAAAATGCGGAAGGAGCTTAAATATGTAGATGGTAAGACTGAAATTTATTAAAGGAACTTTGAATAGCAAAAATAGGGAGTTTAGCAAGTTTTCACACTTACCTAAGTTTGTACCTACAAAACAAACTTGCCTAAGGTCATTGTGTCTTGTGTTAGATACATGTATCCAACACAGGACACGTTTGCACGCAATGTACACGCGAACCTTAAACGACCCGCTGAACGCACCGTTCCGAATTTGCGGGCTTAGTTTTAACTAGAAATTACAAACCAAAACTCAAAGTTTCTTTGAAAGAAGTTTTCAGTTTCATCTAAAAGGTCTTAAAGATAAACAATTTTTCTGTTCAAGTTTTTCTTCTTAATTTTTTTGTTATTATTCACTTGATCTATTGCGTTTGAAGTTCAAGTAAGACTACCGTAAAAATGTTTTTATATTGCGTAGATGTTTGTCTTACTCGGCTGTATTTATTTGCCTTTTTCAATCAAACAGGCGTAACATTTTTCTGACAAACAGTTAAAACTTAATATTGCACCAGGAGACACGGGGTAATATTGCAGAGGGATAACAATTTATGTTCATTTTCAGGGATATATCTGGGTGAACGGGCACAATCTGGGTCGGTACTGGCCGTCGGCAGGTCCGCAGATTACGATGTATGTGCCGGGAGTCTGGCTGCATGCTGCGCCGTCGCAAAACAAAATAATTTTGCTAGAATTAGAACAACCGCTAGGAGATCTCACTATAGATTTCATTAACTATCCTAAGTTAGCCGGAGAAAATTAAAACAAGCTAATAAATAATAAACTGTTAAACAGACACTTGATAATACTTTGATGAAAGCAGGTGTAGAGTAGTAAATATAATAAACACTAAAATAAGTAGTAAGTATAAACTATATGTAGCATCGAGATAACCGCGAAATGAAATAGTACGTGATAAAATAGTAAATCCTTGTACTGTCTCGATAGACACGTTCGGGATGAGAATAGATGTAGGAAGTGAACGTTATTTGTCAATGAAATTAAATGATTTTTTAAAAATAATTCTGGAAAATAGTTTCATTTCCTATGATTTTTTGAATTTAATCGATTTTATTCTGAAATTACACAAAATAATAAAGAAATTAGAAATGCTCAATTTAAATTATACATTAAATTTTGATTTTAACATTGTTGAAATAAAGAGATTTTGTTTGTTGTACAAGTTATTGTTTAAAGTAACTCTATAGATTTTACGAATTGAACAAGATAACCGAAGGCATTTTCGTCTCTAGTTCTTCATTTATATATAGTGTTTCGTATGCAAACATTTGATGGGATTTATTTGTATCCTCACCAGATTCGTTAAAAATTGGATAAAGAAATATTTGATTGTATATATCATAGCTTCCATTGACTAGTTGTTGATAGTCCAGAAGCGATTACAGACTTGCAAGATGGTGTCATTGTCGCGGTCCGTATCTCTTTTAATTTTGTCACCTATTACTTATTTGACAGTAATTGTTTCGGACGGGGGATGGGACTGGACCCCGGGCTCCTTACACTTTTCTCTTCCACTTCGGTGTGCCCGAAAAGGTCCACGATGTTCTTAATTGATGATTCTTATACTGCACCTCGTACACCATTGTGGAATGCTAATAAAAATATTCAATATTGAAATGGTGTCGATTGTTTATTATTATTATATTATATATATAGTAGCGATAGAACTCTTTGTGAAAACGTTCGTCCAGGGAAGTACTACTACCTATTGCTGCCGTCAATCAGCAATGTGAGCAGTACTGTATTTCGGTTTTAAATGGTAAGGTTGCTGGTGAAATTACAGGCACATAGAACTTGTCAACTTCTGTCTCAGGGTGACGGGGCGCAGTGGCACTGTTCTTCAAATCTTTGCGATTTAAAGCTCTGAGCGACACTCTCTGAGACCACAACTCTCTGAGAGGCGTGTGGCTTATTACCAGGCGCATGACTGTACGGTGTCATTAAAAAATATACTTCTAACAATAATAAAGACGAATTTAAGAGAATATGTTAGTATGTATTATAATAATCGCATTACTCGCAAAAGCAAAATAGTAATCGGTTATACTCATTATCAACTGCAAGAAACCGATAAATTGAGAAAACAAAAGGAACTAGACGAAATTATCGTTAATTACCACATGGCGTCGTCATGACACTATTAGTACAATGTGATACGGTTAGTTGAATACGTTGGTAAGTTTGGCTAAATTTATATTAAATGCACTTCATTTTAAATCTTATAAGCGACTGGTAATATGATTGTTTGTGCGTGCATTAATTGACCGAGCGAATTGCATATATAAAGTATAAGTACAATCGGGACAACGTGAGTATTAGTGGAACCCTCGTCGCAGGCAGTTGTGTGTTGAGCTCAATCGGCCTCTATGTGTCACGGGAACGTCGACTGAATAACGTACGAACAGTGGCCGGCGGAGTTGTCAAGTAGCTTGAACCCAATGTGCGAGAGTTCACTGGCAGGTCAGTGTCTACCCAACAACTACGAGGTCATTGCCGTGTGCTAACTGCCTCTCTTCTCCTATTTACATGTTCGAAATAACCTGATCCTGCTTCTAAATTACGCTTAATACCTAACAAATCTATGATATTCAAATATTATTTATGTGTTGGTGTTAAAATTTTAAACAGGAAGGAAAATTGTTTTTCACATTTACCAAATGGTTTTTCATTAAACAATTTGTTTAGCTCGACACATATCTAAAAAACATTGTAATATTGTTTATAATCGATTTCACAAAGTCACGTACGTACGTAATTTATACTTATTATGTATGTACGTGACACTTAAGTACAGGTTATTTAAACAGTAAGTAAAGGGGCTATAATACTTAAAAGAGGAAGAAACAGTACTTATTTTTAAAACTGCTAATTTGAACGGCAATAAATGACGTAACGCTCAATTTTCAACAAAAAATTCGGACACATTGTATATTTTTAGTAGCGGCCGTATTTACAATGAAACTGGTCTTAGGTTTATTATTCTTAAAACTCATGTTTTGTTTACGAAAATACGTCAGCATGGGAATGGATAACACTGCTGAGTGTAACGTGTGCAGGGGTAATTGTGTGGATGAATTTAATTAATGTCGCAATTGCGATGTCACTGCACAGGTTAATAGATGCGGGCAGGCAGGCGTTCTTTTGATTTTAAAATCGAGATTCAATCTTTATTAAGTTTTTAAAGAACGGTCTACATTGGTCCTGTATCTTCAGCAACTGGGGTATAAGATTCCAGTAGCATATTGCCAATGAACTGATAGAAATGGATTTACTATTCGTCTCGTACACAACTTCGCACGGTACACTCACATACTGGTTTCTTGGCACATTTCTTTAATTTCTACTTTGCATTCTCTCGCCATGAATGTGGTAGGGTGTAAAAGGTAAAGGAGTATGAAGAATAAGACGTATGACAATACGGATGTTAGCGCCTCTTTGGACGCTGTGGATATGTGGATAATAATGGAGTCTTATTTATCAACGTTAACAATTTGGTGACCCCGACGTGATGTTTGGAAGCTATACAAAAGCTAACACCAATAATATACGCATACCAATAATATAAAAGTAAAATAGCATACGAGCACATAGATAGAGTCGAAGTGGGAATTGCCGAAAATAGCTCCAGAATGTTCGAAAATAATTGATTTTAATTTTTTCACATTTAATCGGGTTCTATTTTTATTTTAAAGGAAATTCCACAAGTTTCGAGTGTAAGCCGGTGAGCATAAGGATTGTTACCTATGGTATAAAAGTCTCGCCGTTTACTCGAAAATCGTAACAATATGATTATTCATACTTATTACGTGATGTCTATATAAAGATTATTAGATGCAAAACATGTGTTTACAAAATTGCTTTTCCAGCGTGAGCATTTAAAAACATTGCACGGCCCTCCTCAATAAATATTAAATAATTTACGCAATCAATTCTGGCCCGTAAGCGGTAGAATTTTAGCTAGGAGCACCGTGAATAAGTGTAAGACCTGCTGGATCACGGAAGCAAAAAATATAAGTCCTGTTATGGGAAACTTACCTGTGTCTAGGGTAACGCCAAACCTACCGTTTATGGTTTGTGGCGTTGACTTTGCAGGACCTTTTCTAATCGTAGACCGCAAAGGACGCGGTTATAAGGTCACAAAGGCTTACTTAGCTCTTTTCATTTGTTTCTCGACAAGGGATTTACACCTTGAACTGGTAAGTGGTCTTTCAGCGGACGCCTTTATCAGACATGTCTCCGGCGGTTTATTTCTCCTCGTTGGTATCCTTCCGAGATACACTGTTATAACGGCACAAATTTTGTAGGTGCGAGCAATGAACTAGCTACCTTTCTCAAACTTAGCACGATCCTATAGCTTCTATTGCGGCTGACGAGGCTATTAAATTCGTGTTTTCGCCAGCTTATTCTCCACACTTTGGTGGCATTTGGGAAGCTGGGGTTAAGTCTGCGAAGTTCCATTTAACTAGGGCCCTAGGGAACACACATATGACGTTCGAAGAGTTATCGACTCTGCTTACCCAAATAGAAGCTATTTTAAATTCAAGACCTATCACGCCTTTATTAACTGATTCCAATGATCTCGAGGCACTGACACCAGGGCACTTTCTGATAGATTGACCTTTAATTTCCGTGCCATCTCCAACTGTACCAGTACATACAGCAAATGCGGCAGCAATTCTGGGCACGTTGGCACAAAGATTACCTTGCTGAGTTACAGCAAAAAAAAAAGTAAATGGCAAGTGGATAAAGAGGATTATAACATCAACGATATCAGCCTAAGATTGATATCAGCATAATCTACCTGACCTGTAAAGGGCCTGAAACGTCGGTTTGTTTGAAAAAACAAATATACGCGATTTAAATCCGGAAAAATAGTTTCATTTTCTATGTGTAACAATCGCGAAAACCTAATAACTCGATATCAACGATATCGTCGTGATTAAGGAAACGAATGTTCCGCCAATTAAGTGGCGTCTGGGACGTATACTGAAGCTCTATTCAGGTGTGGATAACGTTACAAGAATGGCGGACATCTTTACAGGACGAGGCACCATACGGCGAACCGTCCTCAGGCTTTTTTTTTTTTTTTGTGAATGACATTTTGCAGTTGGCCGCTGATGGCCTTTACTGCGCCACCGGAGAAAAAGGGCGAGCTGAAGGCTCATAACCCCCAAAACAAAACAAACTTAAAGGTAAGTAGCGGGCCTGAGGGCACCCAAGTGGACACAACCGTCCTCAGGCTGTGTGCCGTACCCAAATTTGAAGCAACTTTTTTTATTGTCGAGGCTCTACCTCCTCGACGAGGGGCAGGATGTTAGCGCCTCTTTAGACGCTGTGAACGCTGGCTGCGCCGGCTTGACGTTTGTTATTTATTGATTTTATTTTGTTCTAAGAAAAATGTCATATTTTTATTTTCTCAATTATTGTAAAAATTCCTTAAGAAAAGACCTTCTGATTTACACACAAATAATGGTGTCTTATTTATCAGCGTTAACAACGTATATGAACAATGTATGTCATGTTATCTAATATTTGTTTATATATAAACTTTTTTCGTAAAACGCAAATAAAAAAATTATAACCTTTTCATTAAAAAAAATCACCTCCAAAGTTTGCTTGTCCGTTGTCGCTATATTTTATTTTTATTGGAATTACATTTATGTACCAAGTTTTATTGAAAACAATCTACCAACATTCTATCCATCAGCGGACAACTGCAAAGTGTCCTTCAGAAAAAAAAACAAAAACGCAACATTCGTTAGTAGTAGGGAAGACCTACATGACCAAATCATTGAAGCATCCCCACTCTATCCATCATCTTTCATACCGTAACGCCCTCAATTTGATTTATAAGAGTAAAACTTTAATTAGTTTTTATCACGATTCTCGAATTTTAGATACACTGCACGGAAAAATACTAGTATAACGTACGGTACATTTAATTAAAATAACGTAAGTAAAT